CAATTTCATTGGCCCCATATAGGATGAGCCAAATCGCAATGAAGGAGTTTGGGAAGCAGGTTCAAGAACTTTTAAATGAGGATTTCATCTGATATAGTGTGTCCCATTAGGGTGTTCCAGTCACATTTATAAAGAAGAATGGCAGGACATTGAGATTGTGCATAAATTATAGGGAGCTGAATAGAGTTACAATAAAAAATAAGTACCCCCTTACCATAATTGATGATCTCTTTGACCAATTGCAGAGTACACGGGTCTTTTCCAAGATTAACCTACGTTCAGGGTATCATCAGATAAAGATAAAAGCTGAAGACATTTCGAAGACAGCTTTTTAGACTAGGTATGGACATTATGAGTTTCTTGTCATGCCGTTTGGGTTGACTAATGCACCTGCAATCTTTATGGCCTTGATGAATAGGCTCTTCAGACTGTTTTTGGATCAATTTGTCATAGTCTTCATTTATGATTTCTTGGTCTACTCTAAGAGTGAGGAGGAACATGTTTCGCATCTGGTTCAAGTTTTACAGATTATTAGAGACAAGAAGTTGTATGCGAAAAGTGTGGTTTTTTGCTCGATCAAGTTTCCTTCTCAGGGCATGTAATATCAAAAGATAGTGTATTAATAGATCCCCGTAAAATTGAGACTGTGTTAACTTGGGAACAACTTACTATGTTCAAGGGCATCAGAGAATTTTAGGGATTAGCTGGATATTACCGTAGGTTTGTGAAGGGATTTTTCAAGATTGCAGCTCCTCTTACTCGGCTTACCAAGAAAGATGTCAAGTCCGAATGGGGTGAAGCATGTGAGAGAAGTTTCACATAGCTCAAGCAATGGTTGACCACAACTCTTTTGCTAACTTTATTGAATGAGACTGGTGAGTATACTATACACAATGATGCTTCTTATTAGGGATTGAGATGTCTTTTAACGCAGCATAGATGGGTCATAGCGTATGGGTCTAGACAACTAAAGACACATGAACGGAATTACCCCACTCATGATTTAGAGCTTACTGTAATTATTTATGCCCTGAAACTCTAGCGTCATTATTTGTATGGTGAAACATTCAAGATTTATACTGATAATAAAAGTTTAAAATATATTTTCACTCACAATGATCTCAACATTCACCAGAAGTAGTGGATAAAACTATTAAAAAATTATGACTGTAAGATCTTGTATCATCCAGGCAAGGGTAATGTAGAAACAGATGCAGTAGGAAGAATGTAAGTAGATCTTGTATCATCCAGGCAAGAGTAATGTAGTAGCAGATGCAGTAGGAAGAATGTAGGTACACTGGCTTGTATTATGGTTTCCGGGTGGAAGCTCTTAGAGGCTATGCAGGAAATTCAACTTCATGATCAGGCTGAAGCTGTTTACTTATCCAGTTTGAAAGTCCAACCTGTGATACTACAACAGGTCAGAGATGCTCAGTTGACTAACTCTACAATAAATATTAAATAGGTAGGGTTCAGAGTGTCGGATGATGGATTACTCAAATTTAATGGCAGGGTGTGTGTCTCCCATAACAATGAATTAAAGAAAGACATTTTGATTGAGGCTCACTGCTCCAAATTCGCCATGCACCCGAGAAGTACAAAATATATCAGAATTTAAAATCTCAATTTTAGTGGAATGGTATGAAAAGGGACATCACTAAATATGTTTCTAAATTCCTTACTTGTCAGCAGGTGAAAGTAGAACAATAGCGTCCTAGTGGACCCCTCCAACCTTTGTCGATACCCGAGTAAAAATAGGAGCACATCACCATGGATTTTGTGATTGGATTACCCAAGACCGGAGCATGCTATGATGTTATCTAGGTGATCGTGGATAAGTTAAGCAAATCTTCCCACTTTCTAGTAGTAAAGATGACAGACTCTTTTGATAAGTTAGTTAGAACTTATGTCCATGAAATCATAAGACTTCCTGGGATTCTAGTTTCAGTGATATTCGATAGAGATCCGAGATTTACCTCTAGGTTTTGGACAAGCTTTCAATAAGCCTTGAGCACCCAGCTATCCTTCAGCACTGTTTTTCATCCTCAAACATATGGGAAATCAGAGAGAACCATTTGCACATTGAAGGATATGTTACAAGCATGTGTTTTAGATTTTGGCAGATCTTGGGATGATCATTTGCCACTGATAGAATTTGCTTATAACAACAGCTACCAAGTAAGCATTGATATGATCCCCCTATGAAACGTTGTATGGCTGACCCTGTAAATCACCAATTTGTTGGGAAGAAGTTGGGAAAAGGAAGTTGATTGGCCCAGAGATAGTAGACGAAATTATGGTAAAAATTGTTAAGATCAGGAAGAACATTCAGGTAACCCAGAGTAGATAAAAAAGCTATGTAGAGAATCGAAGAAGGGTCTTGAATTCGAGGTGGGTGATCATGTTTTTCTGAAGATCACACCTCTCAAAGGCATCAATAGATTCGGGAAGAAATAAAAGCTAAGCCCTCGATTTATTGGCTCATTTTTTGTTTTAGAGAGAATTTAAGCAACTGTCTACAGACTAGTATTGTCCCTAGAGCTATCTCGAGTTCACAACGTATTCCATGTATCAATACTACGAAAGTACAATCCTAATCTATCTCATGTGATACCTCACAACCCTCTTTCAATTCAGAAAGATTTATCTTATAAAGAAGTGAACATGTCATTGTCTTAGACCAGAAAGAGAAGGTGCTTTAAAACAAAGTGATTCCCCTAGTCAAGATCTTATGGCAGAACCATACTCAAGAGGAAGTCACTTGAGAGCTAGAAACAGAATTTCGAGACAAATATCCCTATCTATTTAATATTTTTTAATTTAGATTAACTTTATGTAATGATATTTTATATTAATAAAATAAATTTGGAGGACCAAATTTTTTTTAAGGAGGAAGGATTATAACAGACCCAAAATGACGTCGTTTAGGGTACGGAAAAAAAAAAAAAAAAAGACCAGAGGTATTTGCTTTTGGTTGGAGAAAGGGGAGAGGCAGAGGCGTACACACCTCTACCACAAGCTGGGAAACGTGGGAAGGAGACCTGCACGACAAGGAAGAAGAATCGTGTAGGGCTCCTCCCGCCCCTCCTTATAAAAATAAAATGAGGGGAGGTGATCAGTGCCGGAAGATAGAGAAAGAGAAAAAGAGAGAGAGAGAGAGAGAGAGAGAGAGAGAGAGAGAAAGAAAGAAAGAGAGAGAGATAAAGAGGGAAAAAGAGAAAAAAATGGGGAGAGAGAGAGAGAGAAAAAAAAACAGGGGGAGAAGGTTGCGACAACCATTAGTCGACAACTGAGAGGGGAGATAAGGAAGGAGAAGAGGAAAAAGGAAAAAGAAAACGGGGTGCTGCGCGCGGCAGTGTGTGAGAGATGGGGGCGGTCCGCGCGGTGATTCCAGGAGCAATTGACCATTCTACTGCTCCCTCCAGCGCGATTCCACC